ATATATTTGCATATTACTATCATTGATGCCATGGAAGCATCAGTCTAAAGATCAAGTGACATATTGCATCGGGAAAATCTACTGCAGATATACCTCTTTTAAGTGTTAAAATGCAAAGGTGCCACTTTGAGGCCCAAGATGCACCTGACCCCAGCCATGGTATTTTCAAACCCTTAGTGTGCCGGTGAAAGCTGAGCAATGAAAAGGGAACACGGAAGAAGCCGAGATGTATTGGAATTGTGTTGGTGAAGAATATTGACACAATAGACTGCCAGACGAGTGAACAGAACTATCCCGGAAAATGGACCCCCAGGACATTCCTTAGAAAGAAGGATGGCAAGACTTCATTCCACTTACTTTGAACATGTTATCAGAAGAAGGACATCAGGCTTGCTAAAGTAGAGCCTCAGCAAATAGAGGAAGATCCTCAGTGGAATGACGTGGCACAGTGGCTGCAGTAATGACCTCACAGCAGAGCAACGGTTGTGAGGATGGGACAGGGCGGACCATGTTTTTGTTCTGTTGTATTTATAAGGTTGGCGGTTCTACCCACCAGCTCTCTCAGGGGAGGGAGTTGCGGTTTCTGAATCCCGTGAGGTAGAGTGTTGGAAACCCTGTATTGAGTACAAATTGAATCCATCGCCATGTGTTTGGTTTTGTTTGTTTGGTTAACAACAACAACGGTGCTCACATTCATATAAGCCTCGTTTTCTCTACATCGTAAGAGAAAACTTCTGTCAGACATTTTCCTTGCCTATCTCAGTCCCTGTAGTGCTCATAGTCCCAAATTCATGATCCTAAGAGATTACTGAATTATAAGAAATAGGTGTTGCTTGTTTCTGCTCTATGATCACTATCTTTATTCTGACGGTAGCAGAGCCATTATTCAAATGTAATATTATGCGGAAACACCATGTGTAAAAGAGGAAACAGCTCAGTCCACTTAGATGTGGGACAATAACATCTTCCCAAATATCCTCTTCTCGCCTCTCCCTTAATGTCTACAGAGCACCTTGCCTGAAAACTGCACCTTGATATTTTCCAGGATGTTAATATATGTCACACTCAAGCAGGAATAATTCTTTGACGTCCTACTATCGCTGGCTTAGCTGACGTATCTCATTCGTGCCTGGTAAGACTCATCATCTTTACGTGTGGGGGCTAGTGGTGCATGTTCATTTTAGACAACTGTCAATTCCTTGACAGATCTCCCTCCAGCCAATACTCTCCTCTCTGTAGGAACGATTTAGGAATGGGAGATTAATAAGCAAGTTGGAAACACAGTGGAATGGCATGTTTTCAGTAATAAAATGCATATAGATCCCTCCACCACCCCCACCCCATATCTCTTGCTTCTTCAGTGAATAAGGCTGAAAGGTGAGAAAGCTGATATTTTACCTGAATCTGGAAGGAAGCGGTCGGTGGAGAGCTTGGTATGGTCTAGACAATCTACCAAAATTGTTGCTGAAAGATTTTTGAGTTCCAGTGATGCAAAGGGTAAGCACTTTGTTATGGATCGAACCCACTAGCAGTTAGAACCCCTTAACCACTCCCTAGGAAAGAGGAGACCTAGTGATCGGCTTCTGCCCTGGAAATCCACTGGGGCATTTCTGCACTGTCCTGTCATATTGCTTGGAGTAGGAGCTTACTCTAAGACACACAAGAACGACAGACTAATGTAAGTAAAGGTAAGGCCAGTACCCCATTATTTGTTTCATTCACAATACTTCTAAAGGTTTTTTAAAATTTATTTCATGGAAGTGGAAAATTGCTTTGGTTTCTGTTCTGAAGAGGGGCAACTTTAGCTCACTGGTGGGTCTATAATCATTGGTAACGGTACAAAAAAAGAATGCCTGGTGGCACAGAGGGTTACATGTTTGGCTGATAACCAAAAGGTCACCAGTTTGAATCTGTCCTCTGCTTTGTAGGATAAAGATGAGGCTCTCTGGTGCTGTTAAGATTTACATCATTGGGAACCTGTGGGGGGAGGTCTACTCTGCTCTCTCTCTAGGGTCACTATGAGTCAGAATTGACTACATGGCAGTTCAGTTGTTTTGTATTTTTGTCTGTTTTTTAAGGACAGGTAATACTCCCATGCAAACTGAAATTCAGGAAAGAAAGAAAAAAGGAAAAGAACATGAGGTGCTATTTGCTTTTCCACTATGAAAACGGAAGTAATAGGTCTAGGTCTTCACCAAACTCAGCCCTCGTCAAGCTTCTTGTCAAGGGACTTCTTCCTTTTCCTTATCCTTTCCTTCACCACCATAACCACCTTTTCTATTTACTGTGTGTCAGCATGGTGAATGGGTTGTTTCCTATTATCTGCCGTATAGGAAGTTTTGCTAAAGCCCTAACACTTCTGTCAACCGTGGCTGGCTATGCCTCTGCCTGACGGAATGGCCTTCATCCTAGGAGATCAGTCTTGGTTTTGGCAATAGACAATTGACCTGCTTGGGCTGCTCTCATCCATTTCCTTTTACCCAGAAGTCTCTGAAGCCAAAGAAAACATTGTGAGCCATTAGCCTATAGGGTTGCTAGTGATGTTTGTAGATTGAACTGATAAGGAAGCCGAATGTCTGCATATGAATCCAGATTTCCAATCTCCTCTTGATGCGAATAGGAAGAGAAGAGAACTGAGGAAAGAGCAGGAAAGGATACACGATGATCCAGCATGATGGTGACTGGAGTGGGTAGGACACATATGTTTCCTGTGGGCCAGTCGGCAGATAGATGCATTTCAGCTAGTATCTCCAGTAGAGCACATGCTGGGTAATGGGAACATTGTCTGTAGAGAATTCCGCAGATGGCAGAACCAGGGGCTAAACAGAAGACCAAAGCCAGCATGTATCTATGGTGTGGTGAGTTGGGTACCATGGCTTTT